CCCCGGGGCTCACCGCCATCTTGGAGGGGGGTCTGCGGAGCCTGCGCACGAGCGAGCGGGGGGGACAGGCCGAGGTTGCCGCCGCCATCTTGGAGAGGGGCAGCGCCGCCGCCGCGGACCCCGCCCTGCCCCGGAAGGCGCTCGCCCCCGCGCGTCCGCTCCAGCCGCGCCTCTCTATGGTGCGCAGAGCGGCGCCGCCGCCTCCGATTGGCCGGCGCCGCGCAGGCGGAAGCGGTGCGAGACCGCGGCTCACAGCGCCCCGCGGCGGCGGCGGGCGCAGCGCGAGACCCGCCGCCCCCCCCACCTCGGGCGGGATCTGATTGGTCGCGGCGCGGGCGCAGCCCGCCCAGAGCCAATGCCAGCGTCCGAGCGGCCGGGGCGGGAGGAGGGGGAGTGGGTGCGGGGGGGACGGGAGCTGATTGGTCGCTACGCGGGTGTTGCCTGCCAAGAGCAAGAGCTGATTGGCTGGTGCCTGGGCGTCGTGGCTGAGGCGGGGGAGGGCTCTAGCCTTGGCGCGGGCGGGGCGGCAGGAAGAGGCTCGTGGGCCTCGGTCAGCGCCCGCCGCCGTCCTCCGTACCCGCGGAGGAGGAGCGGGAGCGGGAGGAGCGGGAGCAGGAGGAGGAGGAGGAGGATGCCGGGCCCGGGGGCGCCGGGGGCGCCGGGCGGCCCAGCCCCGCGCGGCTGCGTCTACCTGGACCACAACGCCACGACGCCCGTGGCCGCGGAGGCGGCGGAGGCCGCGGGCGAGGCCCTGCGCGAGGCCTGGGGCAACCCGAGCAGCCCCTACGCGGCAGGTGAGGCCGGCGGCGGGGCCGGTCCGCGGGCCGCGCCGCCGCAGCCGTGCAGCTGGGCGCCCCGTTCCCGCCCTCCCAGGGAGGAGAGCCAAGGAGATCATCGCGAGCGCCCGGGAGAGCGTGGCAGCAATGGTGGGGGGAAGGCCGGAGGACATCGTCTTCACGTCGGGGGGTACGGAGGTGAGAGCCGTGTTTGGGGGGGCACGGAGGGGCCTGCAGCTGCCCTGCTCCCACTGGAGCCCTTTGTTTCCGTGCACCAAGCGAGCAGCGGTGAGGAAGGGAACTGCTGTGAGCACCAGTGTTCCCTCTGCTGCCTTCCTTGCAGGCCAACAACATGGTGATCCACACTGCGCTGCGGCACTTCCGAGAGAGCTGGCAGCAGGGCCGGGCCAGGCCTGGCGACSGCCGCCCCGAGGCAGCGGGCACCGCTCCGCACTTGGTGACCTCCAATGTGGAGCACGACTCCGTGCGGCTGCCGCTGGAGCACCTGGTGAAAGAGGGGCTGGCGGGTGAGCCCTGGACGGGGCAGGGAGGCGGCCGGCAGGGCAGGGCTGGGCTGGGCGTGCCTGGCTGCGGCTCCGGGCTGCTGATCCTTAGGGCGCCCCTCTTGCCTTGCAGAGGCCACCTTCGTGCCCGTATCCACACAAAGCGGACAGGCTGAAGTGGACGACGTCCTGGCCGCAGTGCGRCCGACCACGTGCCTGGTTTCTGTCATGTTGGCCAATAACGAGACCGGCATCATCATGGTAAGCAGTGGTCACGGAGCGGGATGACATGGGGCTGTGCAGCGTGCTGGAGGTATCTTTGGAAAAGAGTGCAGTAAAGGGGATTTAATAGTTGCTCAGACACAGCCCCTCTCTCTCCCTACCAGCCCGTCTCAGAGTTGAGCCAGCGCATCCGTGGCCTCAACCAGAAGAGAGTGGCAGAGGGGCTGCCTCGTATCCTGGTGCACACGGACGCGGCCCAGATGATTGGCAAGGGTCACGTGGACGTGCAGGAGCTGGGGGTGGACTACCTCACCATCGTGGGACACAAGGTACGGGCTGCCTTATGTGGCTGTACTCCTGGCAGGGCATCCCTGCTGCAGTGCCCAGGTGTTCAGTGCGGTGCGGTTGCAGGAAGTGCAAGGGCCAGGGTGGAGACATACAGCTGTGCTTGGACAAAAGCATGTGGGATAGAGCACGTCCCTCCAGTGGCTCCGTGCAGTGCACTGAGATCCTATCCTGGCCCTGCTCTAGCTGAGGAGCAGGAGTCTGTTACCCGTGAGGAATTCCCGTGAGGATCCTGGGAATGGCTCCCTTGAGACGAGTTCGGTTGCCCTTGCCTCGAGGGCATGTCCCATGGAGCAATTTGCGCTCTCCGAGTCCTGTTCTGGATGCACTGGAGGGCTCTTCGTTCCGGGTGTGTGCTCAGGTAAAGGGTGCTGAAGCCCCAGGCCGTGGCTCAGTGGCCGTTTTTGGTGCAGTTCTACGCCCCGCGGATCGGCGCCCTGTATGTGCGCGGCCCTGGCACCGCCACCCCGCTGCACCCCATGCTCTTCGGAGGGGGGCAGGAGAGGAGCTTCCGTCCAGGGTAAGGCAGCTCAGCGTGGGGCAGAGAGGGGGGCTGTGCTCTCCATGGCTGTGCTCTCCATGCGTGCACAGAAGTGACACGTGGCTGCTCCCTCTTCCAGTACGGAGAACACCCCTATGATCGCTGGCCTCGGCAAGGTGAGTTGGTGATGGCTGCGGGTGACGTACAGCCAGCCCGGGACATGTGGGTGACTGGGCCAGTCACAGAGGCCCCTCCCGGGCTGGCCTCACACGCCGGGAGGCTGCGCGTGGGATCTAGTTCATGGAGCCCGTCTGAAGTTTTTCTCGTCAGGCTGCAGAGCTAGTGGTTAAGAACGGGGATGTGTATGAGGCTCACATGCGGGACGTCCGGGACTACCTGGAGGCCAGGCTGGAGGTGAGYGCACTCCGTTCCCACTTGTTTCTCTCCTCCTGGCTCTCAGCTCGCAGTGTGGCAGGCAGAGCACAGGGCAGGTGGTAGCGAAGGAACTACCACCTTCCCACCGGGGGTRGGAAGAAGTCGCAGCCCATGTGTCCCTCATCCTAACGCTGCAAACCCAGCTCCGTGGTTCCCGTCTGCTCTGTACGTGGTGCTGGCAGCTGCCCCAGCTGCTCACCCATCTCTTCATTGCTGYTGGGGAACTGTCAGGCTACAGTTCTCTGGGCTGTTACTCACTTTACCTGGGGCTCTTGGGGTAGTCAGTGGGGCTACATAGTGCCCCACTGACACTTGAAGGTGACGAAGGACCAGACATTTTCCTGAAGCCAGCCTGAATGTGGCTCTGTGGCCCCACTGCCTCCTCGCCAGAACAGAGTTTGTCACATTCCCAGAGTGCTTCACAGGCCTCTGATTTCTCCAGGCCTCCTTTGGGAAGCAGAGGATCCACTTCAACAGCAAGTTTGCAGGCTCCAAGCGGCTCTGCAACACCTGCAACTTCTCCATCCTGGGCCCAGGCCTTCAAGGTAGCTCAGCCCATACATCTCCCATGCCCTCACCCTACCCTGTGCTGTGCTGGTCACTGCAGGCCTGACGCATGCAGGCACCCAGCTGCAGCTTGGGCAGGGGCATGGAAGAGRCCAGCAGGGCATCCCGGGCCACCCTCGGTGACAGCCTGGGCGCTGGGTGACCTGAGCTTGGGTGTGCTGCAGGGCGCAGGGTGCTGTCACACTGCAAGACGCTTCTGGCCAGCGTTGGGGCTGCCTGCCACTCGGAGAAGGGCGAGCGGTAAGCAGCTGGGAAAGGAACGACCCCGGGAGATCTGTCCCTGGAGGGGAAAGGGCCACATTCCTTGCAAGGCCAGTGAGCCCAACAGGAGCAGGTGCCTTCAGAAAGMGGGCAGGCTGCTGTGTGGGAGAYGTGCTTGATCTGGAGTGCTCTTGCACAGATAGGCAAATGAAGCACATGCCTTCCGTGAAGCTCCTGGGTGATGCAAGTGCTTCCTTGAGCACTTCTAGAGCCACATGCTCTAGGTGTGACTGCTGGAGCAGGAAGGTTGGACTAGATGATCTCTAGAGGTCCCTTCCAACCTTGAATATTCTGTGATTCTGTGATTCCTTGGACCTTAAGTGAAAGCCTGCTTGTCTCTGTGTCTCTGCTGCAGGCCCTCCTCCATTCTGCTCAGCTGTGGGATCCCCTATGATGTGGCGCAGAATGCCCTGCGGCTGAGTGTAGGTCGGGAYACGACACGGGCGGACGTGGATCTGGTTGTGCAGGACCTCGTGCAGGCCGTGGCGCAGCTGGACCAGGACGGAGTCCTCTAGGCCCAGGAAATTGTTCTCTGGCTGTCACCGTGACAGTGCCACAGAGCTGGCTGGGGCAGTAGCGGGGATGGTTTCCCCAGGGCTGCCTGGTCTTACGTACTCCCTTTCCTCCCATCCTTCCGATAGCAGGCATAGCTCCTGTTGCAGGTGCCCCTGAGGAAAAGAAGCAGAGGGGCTGCCTTCACAGTGAGCCAGCATCTGAGGAAATTGGCCCTGAGTGGCTGACGTGCTCACCCTGATCCCTGGCTTAGAGGATCAGAATGTTGTGCCTGTTGGTAGCATTGCCAACTGATGCCAGGGAATCTGCTCTCCCTGGGTGTCCATAGGAATAAAAGCGTGTGCCACTGCTGTGGCTTTTTCCAAAGTGAAATGCCTTTTCTGTGGTGCTTGGGGGGAAGCAGGGATGGGATCATTGGGTGTTTTTTCCCTCAGAAAACGCTGATGGCTCAGCACAGAGGCTGTRTGGGCTCCAGGTAAACTGGAGCGGGGAAGATATCCTCAGCCCTTGGCTCAYAGGTGGTACAGAACCAAACTCACCTCTGCCATCTGCACCTTTTTCTCTTAGCTCCGATGGCACCTGCATTAGAGACGATCTGGGTGTTTTTGTCAGGCAAAACCAGGCAGTTGGTGCCGCTGCTGACAGGAATTGTCTTTGAAGCTCCATCTGTTCTGCCAATATGGTGCAGGGGGGATGTTCACACCACAGAWAAAGGGCCTGGGTGATTTGGGTTTAAATATGATTTAGGAGCMGGACGCTCCCACCACTGCCAGGGTGGGCACAGCTTCCCAAAACAATCACCCTGTCTTGGTGACAGGTTCTCCTTCTATTTTATGGTGAACATGGCCAGGATTGTCACCTGGAGGGGGGTCACAATGGGRCATTCCCTTGCCATGGTGATGGCTCCTTGGTCTGCAGTGCCACCAGCCTTCTTTGCAAGTCCCACAAAGGCTGTGGGAGCTCTGGCAGGCTAGAGGGGCTGCAGTGGGCTGGAGGTGAATGGGGTGGGAGAGAGCAGGGTCCCTGATCGCTCTCCACTGCAGGCAGCGCCCCTGAGCTAGGCAGCGATGGCGACGCACTGGGATGCTCTGTACAGGCGCTACCAGCTGCACCGGTACCTGATGCTCATGGAGCTCCAGCAGGAGGGTAAGACCTCGCTGTGGAGGCAGCCAGGAGAAGGCCCTGGTGCCTGGCATGGGTGTTTGCTTCAAGTAGATGATCTGCCATCTTTTGAGCCTGTTTCCAGAAGGCCAAGGTGTCCTGCAGCTCCTGCTGGGCTTCAGAGAGGCTCCCTGGGAACCCAGCGATAGGAATGAAGCCTTTGAATTTTCATCTACTGCAGTTGTCATCTCTGACAGGATCCCTCGCAGCAGAGCTTTGAACTCCAAATACTTCCCAATTTGGGTATTGGCTGCAGGATCCCCTAGGCCGAAACACATCTCAGGTCTCTGTTTCAGCTCCAGGCCATGACAGGATTTTCAATAAGCCCACAGTTGGAAGTCCAAGAATTGGTACTGCACGTTCATGTGGGGAGCCAGGGAGGTGATTACCTTGCTGCCCCCCAGCCAGGGGTGTGAACCTCCTGCTGGGAGCGTGACCTGCCTCTTGCTTGCTTTCCAGACATCGTCAGCATCTGGAACGGCGTGTCGGAGTACATCCATCGGCACCTGCTGCTCAACAGGGTAAGGCTCGCACCCTGCTCCTCACCACTGGCCTTGGTGCTCTGCGGTCTCTTATTTTCTTTTTATTCTTCTGGTTTTAGGGGGTAAAAATCAATGGACTCGGGACATTCTTCGTTGTCAGACAGTATTTACCAAAAAGAAATGACTTTCCTGTTCAGAGACCTGTATTTAATCTGTCTACGACTGTTGCAGTGGTTCACCAGATCAAGTACACTAATAGAGACATTCCTGGTAAGGTGTGATGAAAACCCTCGGGTGTTTAGGGCTGGGTGCCGCTTCTAGTGGATGATTATACACATACATACACAGCACACATGCGCGCACACACACGGATTTCTTTCCTAATATCTATAAGCAATTCCAGCTCATCCCTACCAACCGCCTACCAAGTAGCAGTGTATCGGGAGGACCCTTTCAGAATAACTTTTTAACAGGATTTTGTAAAATTAAACTCTCTCTTTGAAAGACTTGAATGAGTAGCTCTGTGCCACTCAAACCTGGCCAATGTTGTGGGGTGACTGCTAGTTTATGACAACTGAAAGCTCATCTGTATTTGTATCAATCTAGAATATGTGTAGGCAGACACCAGAGTGGCTTTTATAGATTCAGCCTCGTCCAAAGCAGGCAGCCATCAGTTGGAGACTCAAAACAGAGGCAATAGCTGGTACAAAGCACTACTGGTGTTCAAGTTAGCTCTCGTTTCTGGTCAGTGCTGCCAGTCCTGCAGTTAGAGTGGCATTGAGTGCAGCATTGCAGCAACAAGTTGCCCGTGGGCCTGGAGCTGCTGAACCTTCCTATTAACTTGCTCTGTGGTGAGGTATGTGATTCTCGCTCTTTTGTGGTATGCCAGGGGACGTGATGGTTCTGCCAGTGTACCACCACAAGATGCGCCTGGAGCCCTTCTTTCGCAAGAGGACAGTGGAGCAGTGCATGGGGGAGACCATGATCTGTTTCTCCCACCTTCTTGGATGTGAATACGATGTGGACTTTGTTTTCAGAGACATTGGTGTTCTCGTTATCCGAGAAAAGAGAGTGCAGATGAGATTTTACAAAGAGTTCCTTGATACTCTAGATCAGACTGGGACACTGGCAGAAGCTCTTCTCCATGTAAGTGCTCTTTTTTTTTTGTCTCCTAATAAATTCCCTGCATTTGGAGTCCTTAGGCATGCTCTCGAGGATGGGTCTCTCATGGCTGGCTGTGACCTGTGCAGCCCCATGGGCTACCACGCTACCGTGTCTCCATAGAGCTCTGTCCACTGCTCAGTGTGTCGGCGATGCTTGGAAGAGCTGCCCTAGGTCATACCTGGCTAATCCASTGTCTTCCCCTGCACTGGCCTCTGAGGGTTTCTCTGTAAAAGAACTGCTCTTGGCTGAACGTCTTTATTCTTTCCTTTGCCAAAAGCCAAAGGTTTCTTATCCGCTATCAACTCCTTGCTGTGCCTTGTCAAAACAAGGCTTTGGTGTTGATGTCCTGAGTTGGAGGGTTGCAGAGGGAACCCTCCATCTCTGAGCAGTGGAAAGGCTCTGTGAACAGAAGGATCAAATCCTTGGCACCACCTCATGTGTCACTCTCACCATTGCAGGATCCAGTGACAAAGGATTTGGTCATAACGGACAGGAAAGCCATTGTTCCTCAGAGCGATGACAACGATCCAGGTATCTTCATGTTTCCAAGGTGAGCATGTTTGCTCCTGCTGCCTGCAGTGGAACAGTGCCTCTGAGTGGTGGAGGTGTTCCCTGTGCACTGAGGTTGGAGGATGTGTTGATGAAGTATGGATGGGATTTCTCAGAAAGTGGATCAAAGGCTAGATCYATACAAGTGATGAACTTGTGATATTTTCGTATTTTCTGTGAAAGCTGAGTAAATGATGGGGTGGTGTGGCCTTTGGAGAAGCTCCAGCACACCTCTGTGCCCTGATAATTAGAGTAAGCTGCAAAGGGAATGTGGTATCTCTTCTCATTTTCAGGCTGGAGATAAAGAGAGTGTGTAGACCATTATTTTGGAAACCCTCCAGAAAAAAAATTCTGAAGTCCACCCAGGGAAAGAAGGCAGGGAAAGAACTACTTGATGAGAAGATTGTGGGAAAAGGTAGAGTTAAGAGCTGGCTCCTGACAGAGTGTCGTAGGTTTTCCTTCACCTGTTCTTCTGGGGGATGAAAGCTGAAGTTGCAATGCATAGTACAGCCAAATGTGCTTTTTCTCACTCCTGTTTGCCTATGATGGTCACCTTGCAACGTTTTGGTCAGCTTCGTCAAAAGTGTATCTGTGGGGGCAGTGTGCCAAAGGATCCACTTGTGGATATGCCATCAGGACAAAGATCCAAGAAATTGTTCATTTCCTGTGAAATAATAATTCCAAATTCAGGASTCTTTTGGCATCCCAGTGACTCTTAGCTAGCTCCTCACTGCAAAATAAGGATGAGGAAAGCAGTCAGGAAATAACACTGCGGGGAATATGTTTGCACTGCAGAAATGAAGGGCTGGATGAGAGATGGTGTCAGAAAGGGTCTAGGGCCCCTAGAAGAGAAGACCCCTTGGGAAGCAGAGTTGCTGTTTTGGGCATTTTCAGAAGAGAGCTGAGCAGGTCCTTCTCGTTTGAATCATAAGTGCACCACTCTGCTGAGGCTGCCTGTTTCCTGCTTGCAGTGAGCCTTTTTGGAAAGTACCTCCTTGGCCAGGAGAGGATTTCTTCTATCAAATTGACAGAGCTGAAAAGGGAGGAGAGAAAAGAGCCCCTTGTCAGGCAAGTCTCTCGGTGAAACAGTGGAGAGGGATGCTTTGCTCTTGTGCCTGTGGATAGACCTTGGGCTCCCCAGATGGATTAGCATGGAGAGATGTTCACATGGCTCCCGGGGAGATGCATGTTCTTACTGTATGGCACATGGGTACTGGTTTGTGGGACTCTTGTGTCTTCTCTTTATTTGATGGGAATGGTGCTTATTTCCATCCAGCTGTTGCAGCTYTGTGAGCAAGAGTGGGGGTCCAAGGGGCTCTCCTAACTGCTCCTTGACCACACTCGTGTTTGAGCACTGGTCCCTGTGCTGAACTGCTCCTGCAGAGAAGAGAGAGCTGGTTCCAACAGGATCAAACACCTCTGAGGTCTCTAGTTTAACCCTGAGGATGCTGCYCCATAGGGCAACTGTCCTGTCCAAGGAAGCAAAGTGAGCTCTGTTTTCACCGTTTGGTTAGGGTTCATTTTGTTCGCAAGAARCTTCTGCTTTTACACCAAAGCTGCTTTTGTGGCAGGCTCAAGAGACATGCTGAAGAGGGAGAAACAGCAGGACTCGCTCACTTTCTCCTCTAACCCATCATGTGCTCAAACTCATCTAGGTGTGTCTTTTTAGTCAGCTGCTAGCAATGCTGGAGAGCACCCAGGAGGGTGAGAAAGTTGAGAGCAAACACGCTCCTGATGACCAGCCTCTGACTGTTCGTGAAGGACACTGCAGAGCACGAAAGGTAGGGGCTGCACGACGGGCTGCCTCAGTTACTGCGTTGCAGTCTATTGCAGGAAAGCACAGTTACAGACGTGGATTCTTAGAAGACCCTTTAATGTGTGTTCATGTGAATGCTGCTTGAAAAGATGGAAGTTATTCTTTTTTGGCAGTCTATGATGTACTTCTGTAGCCTTAAACAGCAGATGTGCAGTGCTGTTTCATACCTGTTTCTCTCTGTGACCTTCTAGGATGTAAAATACCTGCCTACCCCTTGGGACCAAAAAAACTGCTGGGCAACGTGGGGCAAAGACAGGCGCCAGAGAGAAAGAGCAGACTTGGCAGCTGTGCTAGCTAGGAGAGCAAAGGAAGAGCAGTGGATGGCYGAGGTACTGACAGCATTTTAAAGCATTTAGGAAAATAGCCTTTCTCTCAGCTGGGGCCATGGTTTGAGAGTATTTCAAGTATCAAACTCGCAGCCTGCTGGGGAGGTGACATGGGGGATCATCCSTGCCTTGAGCTGCCCGTGGTGCCCACACTAGAAGCTGGACACAGGGTTTTTGCAGCCAAATGGCCTGAGCCAGTCCTATCCCAGCTGCCTGCAGGGACATGGCTCTAGCAGGTCTTTCTCTTTACTAGCTCTGTGTTAGTATGACCAGGAGTACAATTTGTAATCCTAAACTCTGGAAGGTTTTGTCAATCTAATTTTTAACTAAAGTGCTAGTACATTTGCTTTTAAAAAAAAATATATATATATTTCCAGGGGATGAGAGGCTAACATTTCTGTGAGTTGGAAAAAAGGTAGGGTTRATAGTGTTGAGAACAGCTTTACAGTCACTAGATGCCTGTTAAGCTGTACAGCGATATCTCCACTGCTCACCCCTGCATCTCAAATGCAATCTGTATGTTTTTTTGGCATAGCAGTTGAAACCTCTTTTGGAAAAGGCAGTTCCGGAGGAGGAATATGGCTACACTCTGGAGGAGACCGATCTCAAAAGATGGAGGACGTTTTTACAGAGCACAGAACACTTGGTAAGAAACCTTTTCTGAGAGGAAAAGTGAATTCCCATCCTGGTCATGTCCTTGTCAAAACTGGAGACATGATGTCTAGAAATATATGGGACAGGCGAAGAAACTGGATCTCCTCATGATCAGATTATGTTTCTAGGGTGTCAGTTTTTGGAGAAGCAGGTGGGAGGTGTCATGATCACTAATGCTCATGTTGCAACTGGAGGTTWGGATCATCAGAGTCTTTTGGTCTTTCTTGCCAAACCCCTTAGAATTCCTTTTAGTTCTTACAAAAGGCAATTGCCCCCCCTCACACAGGAGCTGGCTGGGAGCTGCAGTGAAACTCTGGCCAGATCATATCACCCCTCACCAGGAATTGTGGTGAGGTGACACTTCTGGTTGTCCAGCTGCTCCTGCAGTGTCCCTTGCCAGCRTCTCCTATGGAGTCTGCAGACAGAAAGCAGCAGGGTCGAGCTGGGTGCTGTACATGAGCATCTGTGTCTGCCCTGCAGAAACCCTGCTCTCTTGAGGACAGCACGCCTGCCCTTATCAAGAGGAAGGCATACGACCAAGGACTGAAAGAGAAGATGAAGCAGAAGTGGGGAAAGCACGAGAAGCAGAAAGAACTGAACCCACTGAAGTTATTACCAGAGGAGTAAGTGCCTGTGAGCTCCAGCAAGCCCTGGGATGCTCATGTGACAGCATTCCTGTCTTGCCTTGTCGGGGACCCCAACTCCAAGCTGTGAGAGTGCCTAATTTGTCAGGGCAGGAGAATGATCTGGGTTAGACCCATGCTCCTAGCGCCCTTCAGTAGCCCCAAGCAAGTGCCTAAGCCTCATTTTGGTGAAGGAGGTTGGGCAGGGAGAGGCTGGAGGGTCCTGCAGTGCGAGAGCGCCCTTGTCACTACTGCGAGTGACTGCACTGTCACTGTGTATGGCTGAGCAGGAAGCACAGGGGTAAGCGGGGAGAGAAGAGCATGCAGGATGAGGAGGACTCGACCCCAGAGATGAGCTGTGCCCCTAGGGGACACGAAGTGTCCCATGGGTAACAGACCCCAAGATGTACAGCATGACCGAGGCCTGTGTTTTCCTCTGCCACTGCCTGTAAACCTCAACAGCTTTCTTTTAACTCCATAGCATTTTGGAGATGATCCAGCTACAAGACTGGGTGCTGAAAGGTAGCAGGATGGTGAGCCCTGCAAATGAGAAATGAGCAACCTTGGGAGCATCCAGTGCCCTTTCAGATGCTACATATGCCTGCAGTCGTGCCACAGCCTGGATAAACTTCCATCCTTTTTTTTTCTTCCTCCTTGCAAGGACACTCATTCTTTGACTCTTTAAATGCAATCATGTGCCTGCAAATCTGTTGTCATCCAGTGACAGTTAATCTCTGCAATGGAGTTTCTGAGGATTTCCATGATAATTCTCTTAAATTTAATCATGTTTCCAAATTGCTGTGAATCTTTTCTTGAGAAGAGTGTAAACTCTTCAGCAAAGAAATTGTGGAGGGGCAGGAAAAGGATGCTCTAGTCCCTGCTGCTAGAGCAATCCTCAGATACTATAACTATATAATTCTAACCATATGGCTAGAACTTCCTCTCCCTATAGATCTATGTCCATATCATGGCATATATGAGCTCCCTGGAATCATACATACAAGCCAGTCTGGCTGTAGGTACTGTACTGTTCATTCCTATCCAGAGGTTTGCTATGGGAAATTATATAATTATTTTAAGCATTGTGTTGATTTTGGGGGGGGTTGGTGGGGAAGAGTTTTATAGGAAACTACTTTTTTTTTTTTTTTTTTTTTTTTTTTTTTTTTCTCCCCTTGCATTAGAAAGAATCTTTAGAGACTATCATGTCAGGCCTGTTTTAACAATCTCATGAGCCTTTTATAAATTCTGGGCTGCTTTAAACCTGTCTTTGATCCTATTCTGAATTTAAAACAAAGCCTCTCAAGACCAGACAGGGACTTTTCAGACCTCTCAAGGGAAAATGGCTGAATCCAAGGTCCTTGCAGTCTATTATTCGAAGGGGCCTTTGCTTCTGTTTCATACCAGTTCCTTCTACCTAGTGCTCCACAGACCATGATGCAGCTTGCGTGTGCTTTCTAGCTGAAGGGTCCTTGTACAGCCTGTGCAGGTGGTGGCTGCCTCCCTGATGGATCTCACGGAACTGTCTGTCGTAGCTRTGGCCAACTGTCTTTCAGCCAGAGATCCAGTTTTTGGAGCTTTCTCCCCTGCAGGTGATGTAGATTCAGACTGAAATTTAACCACACAGCACAAAAAGCTTTACTGATTTATTCTTTGCAGGTGCACACAGGACATGCAAGTTAAAACCACAGCAATAAGAACATTACTTAATTACAAGTATTACAGTCAGTGTTTAGAGAATGTTACCTGGGATTTGAACACTTTGGTTCACTGTTTTAAGGCCTTTGCTGTTCATTTTTCCTACTATCGCAGTACAAGTGAAGGAGAGTCACTAGCGCATCCCTCTTATCTAGGGCAGCGGAGAAGGAAAATGCCTGTAATCCAGTCTGCACTTCCGTAGGTCAGCCTCTGCTCACGTACCCTACGTGCTGGAGAGACAGATACATTTTTTCATATGTCAAAAATGTCAGAGACTTTACACATAGGAACAAATTCACTTGCCATGCAACTCTGGAAGTACCAGCATTGATTCCTCAATTGTGAATTTAAACAGTAGCGATGGAACCTGACACTGGCTCTAGAATAGACACAGTTGAAATGCTGCTCTCTCACAGCCACATACAAGCACCACAAAGCAAAGCTGGAATTCTTTTAATGAAAGAACCCAGAATCTCTTGATATCATCATCTTCCAGGACAATTTATAGCACGTGAGGGGTAAAAAAACACTAACCAAAATAACTGCTCTACCAAGAAGCTTGTAAGTACCAGGAATGATTCGCAGCACGATGAGCTGCAGGAGCCCGGCGATGACTTTGTCCAAGTGCTGACCGGAGCAAGGTTCAACTTGCTCAGGGCATAGTAGACCACCAGGAAGCTGCCATGGAGCACAGGCAGAGAGCAAGGAGATAGCTCTAGGTTTCTTCATGCAGCAGGATGATTGGCTCTTGAAGGAAGAACATGGTTGGACGCTCCCCATACAGTTCTTGTCCAGGTAAAGGTGAACAGCCACCCTCCAGATGCTGACATTATCTCTGGTTGACCTGTAGATCGTGGAGAGAGCAGGCCTCAAACCTGTCATCATAGCTGTGGTGTAGCCAAAGGCTTCCTTCGAAGTGCCAAGCAAAGAGTTGTCCTCACTCACAATGTTGGGAATCATGACATGATACACACCAAACATTGCTAAGTACAGTAATTATGTCTGTATGAGCCATTCCTTCGTATAGGAGTAAAAAAGCCAAAATGGTACTGAACAGTCATGGTAGCCCTCTACATGACAGTCTCATTGCTGGGGGGGCACTACAGAGAAGACCGCATWAGCTCAGGTAATGGAGATAATGTTGCAGATGCCATAGAAGAAGAGCCACAGACTATGTCCTTTGGGGCCAAAGGGAGGCTCACAGTAGTAAAATACAACCGTAAYAGACAGCACCAACAGTAACACTGAACAGATGAAAATCAACTCAAAGGATGGCACTTTGGAACAACTGGAAATTAATCTTGTTATCAGAGCCACATATCYGTGAGACATGGCAGATCCAAAAAGGCCTGCCCAAGTTTTTCTTGGCTGCAGCAAATTTTCCTTGAGGAAAATTTGGGAATTGCCCAGTCTCACCATGTTTTGGCCGTTGTGCTGGCTGAAGCTGGGTGTGTATCATTCCAAAAAAAAAGGTCCTTTCTCCCTTTCACCATCATGCAGTAATCTTTTTTTAGGATTCCCCTCCATAAATACTTCCTTATCTTTGTTGCCATCCTCATCCCTCTCTTCTGGGGATAATGGCAATATACTGTGTTGGGATGGATTTTCACTCGTTTTTTGACTGGGTAGTTGTGAGAAGACACATCCATTTTCTTAGTGAAAAGTCCTGATCTTAAGAAAACGGAACAAAAGGATGCACTGTGATTTAGTCAACAGTGAGAGATTCATGAGCCAGGCTACTACATTTTTTCTTGATTTCTTGTTTTTTCTTGGTTTGATTTTAATTTTCCAGTGAGTTATTGCAAAACACCTTTGACAGACCATTTGGATCCGTTTATAAAGACATTTAGGTACTCTAACCCTACTCACTGATTTTTGAAGATGATATATGTTCTTCCTGTATTTATCAGAGAATATACAATATAATCTATTGTATTCCTATTCTACTGAGAAAATACTCTGTATTCCTATTCTACAGTAAATACTCTGTAATTATGGATTGCGCTTATTTTTACCTATTTTCTTACGTTACAAGATTACAGAAGAAATTTGGCAGGCAGAGATGATAACCTTGTTTGTAAACTGACAGCAACATAGGGAAATTTAGGGTATCCCTGAGTAAGTCAGCATAGTTCATATAAAGAACAAATTTCTGAGTCATRTTTTGATGGTGTTAAAAACTCCCTTTTCATTTTGCATGTTTTTATTTCCAGTGATTGACATTGCCCTGAGTTTATTTCTCAGGATTACTCTGCTGTCTGCACTGCCCTCCGTGTGTGCAAAGAGCCCTTCCAGACAGGCTCAAATTGCAGCAGGGGTTTCCCTRTCCTCTTCAGGTATCACTGCACCCCAGCAAATAAATATCCCCAAACTTTACGTGCTACTGAGGGATTTCATCACGAGCTAGAGATGGAAAATACCCCTCTCATTGCCATCTACGTCTTTATCCAGACATCTAAGGACTAAGATGTATCAAATAGAAAAGGTTAAAATGAGCCCAGCACAGCAAATCATGCCCAAAGTCAGCATAAAACATCCTAAAATTATGGCCAGGTACACACACCCTCTGCATTTCTCCATCCTTAATTCATGACAGATAGGTCTTGCCTGCATCTTGCTGGCAAATAAAAGCAGTTTCCCTAAGAAGGGGCAGTATTCATCGGAGGTTTGGGGATGAGGGATGCCCTTGCTCCGCCCCAGCTGGAGCTGCAGCTCCCCTCTGGGAGGCAGAGCGAATCCCTGGCAGCAGGGAATGGGGAGAGAGGCTGGCTCTGGTCCCAGCTCTGCAAGCAGAGGAGGCAGGAGGATGACAGCAGTGGTGCCTGTTTGGATCTGCACGGATCACCCGGGGCACTGCCCTAGGCAGAGCGCGGCTCCTGGCATTGGTAACCCACGGACGGACACAGGGAAGTTAGGAGGGCTGAGGACAAGAAACGCCTCTGTCTACACGGGAGCCTCTGTGTTACCACTCTTGTGTGCACCTCTGCTGCCAAGCTGTTCTCAGCAGCGCTCTGGAGATCAAAGTGCACCCAGTGCACAGCTAAGCACAGGAGGAGCACTCAGGAGTTCCCCTTTGCCTGCATGCTGCAAGAGACAAGCAGATAAAGCGCCAAGCACAGCAATATAGAGCTCTCAAACCTCCCCATTAGAAAGCACCCTCAGCCTCCCTGACTGCTACTTGCTTATTTTCTTCAGATAACATGTTAATTCCCGCTTCTTTTCACATGCAAATACAAAGCCAACATAGTGAGTCAACAGAGGTGGTACTTCCCCTAAGCACATCTCCTGCTTTGCATTTGCATTGTATTTTAAATTTGCAATTCTGCTTTGGCCTCCCCACCATCTTAAAAAAACCACAATATATAGATTGTGAAAGTAAGCAGGAAGAAAACAAATGGTGCATAGCAGGCAATTATCACCAGAACTAAGGGATTTCTAGCCTATATAACCTCAGTCATCTCATTAGAAAACAGCTGAATGTGTGCTGCAAGCATTGATTCACCAAAAAAAAAAAAAAAATTCTTAGCATTAGCATGTAATTGCATCCTTTTCTCTTTCTCCTTGAGTTTAGATTACTTTTTTTTCCTCCCCTAACAAATACTGAAAATGGTAAAGAGACAAAATGCATCTGTAAATTTAGTATTAGATCTACGTAATGTATTCGAGACCTCTTTGGAGGAAACAATACCTCAGGAGCACGTAGCTCAAAATGGCTGTCCTATAGACCTGCTATTTCCTTCAGTACTCTGCAGCACTAAGGATTTTAGTTGCTGTAAGGTTTGGAAGCTGGAAGAGGAAATGAGAAAGGTAGGAGATGCAAATTAACAAAGAATAAAAATAACAGGCATGCTTTGATCAAAATGTATTTACTCAACTAAATATTGTGAATATGACAAATAAATATGCCAGCTCTGACACAATACATTTATTTTTACTACTAGTCACCTTGCTTTGCTTAACCAGAATGAATTTCAGAGAATGAGATTGACAATCCCAAATTCATTATCTTTGTTCCAGACACAAATTGCAAACAAATGGAACCCAGTACAGCCTTTGCAGAAAACTTCATTCTTTGCTTTCTGCAAATGCCTTTTGCAGAGATTACGTGAAATTATTATTTTTTCTACATATCTGGAAACATTGTTTATTTGCATTTTCTACAAAGAAAAAAAGCATATATTCTTTTTAATCAACACTTCAATCAATCAAGTATCATACAAGGCTGAAGACTAAGCGCTGTGCAAGACACTGATGTAACCAAACAAACATCGCTAACTCAGGTGACATCCCAGCACACCCTTTCAATTACTGACTCTTGGAAATTACAGGTTGTCAAAGTGTGAACCCTCTATTCCCTGCGGTAAACAATAAATCCCAACAGACTCAATGCATCTCTCACAGCTCACCAATAAAATATGCACTGGGATTTTTTTGTTGTTGTTAAAGAGATCCAAATGCTGATTAGCAAACTAGGAATACACGATTATTGACCCCTTCAATACTGTCCCCCTCCCGCCGATAGAAGGCCGAGCTCTCTGCCCTGCCCGAGGGGATTAAGCCTTAGTGCAGGCAGGTGCGACTGCTATGATACCCACTGATTTTCACTAAACTCACAAAAAAACCCTGCCTTCTGCCAGATGTTGTCAAAAATCTGCCAGCTGAAGCGTGATTATCGTGACAGATCTGTGGATGCAGTAGCTGCGGTTCCTCGGGAAGTGACACACCACGCAGTCGTGCACCACCCCGCTTGGGGAGCTGAGGCTCGCAGGGATCTTCCTCGGCCTCTTCTACGGAAACCCTGACACCTGGCCACGTGAAACTGAGCTTTTTGTAACAAACTACAGGATAATGACAGGTAACAACATTCCCCGAACATCACACGCGCAAAGGACACACTCCATCCCCAGAGCTCCTGCTAACTGAGCTGGCATCCTCACAAAGCGCCTCTGTGCCGAGGCAGCGCGCCGGATTCTCTGAAATCCTTGCGCGCCGCGGGAAAGCGTCCTCAGTGCTGGCTTCAGCGCCCTCCCCGTTGAACGGCCGTAGCTCAGGATGTGTAAATGCCGCCTCTGACACCGAGGGCTCTGCACTCACCCAACGCACGGCCGGGGCGATGCGGGACGAGCGGGGCCACGGGCGAAACGAGGTGCCTTAAACCCAGCTGGCACTGCGGGAGTGGCCTGCGCTTCTGTTTGGATGAGGCTCACGCCAGAAAACCGGAGTATATTATTATTACTTTTAATACAGATGGCATGGGTATATCGAGCACAATTTTATTTAAAACGCAAAGACTTCAGCCTCTCTTAAAATCAAGTGGATCATAAAAAATACTTCAGAAAGTGGCAAGAGCGATTACGCCACAAGAGCTTTTAGTACTTCAGTGGGACAACATACATTAAATACAGACCATAAGAAGGACACCCACGTCTTGCCACGGGCTGGCTCCCGTCCGGGGGCCGTGACCGAGCGTGGCGGAGCCGCCGCGGCGCCCACGGCTCTCAAACGCCACGGAGCACCAGCACTTTCCCCACGGGCTCTGGGCGCTGTGAAGCCCCGTTCCCGGGAGAGCACCGAGGCGGCCCACGCCGCTTCGGAGGGACAAACGTGGCGATGTGTTATTTTGACCTCCTTTTGCAGCGCGGCTCCCTCGCGAACCGTGACCGCGCGAGGCGGGTTCGGAGGAACGGGTGCAGCTTTCAGCAGTCCCCCGCAGCCTTCCCGGCAGGGAAGCAGCTCGGCGGGGCTCTAATAACAACAGCAACAAGAATAACGAATAAAAAAAGCAGCGCAAAGTTCGGGAGAAGTAAGAGACAAAAATCCGCGCACTTACCGGCACGATGGCCGCATCTGCGGGCGGCACCACCCCCGCTGTGTCGCGACACGCGCCCCTCCTCGGGAGCGCCCCCCGCCTCCCCCCAGGGCCGGCGCTAACGGTCCTAACGGGCGGCGCCGGCGCGCGCAT